GCATCTTTGTGTACATGTTCAACCGCCTTAGTCAAAAAAAAAAAAAAAAGAAACAGTCGACGGTCAGACGATGGTAATCTCATTAAGTGTGCTAAGGGAAGTAACTCAAAAAAACAAGAACTAGTTGTTAGATCGTGTACTGGTAAGCTCCCATGTTGAGGTAGAAAACTGTAGTACCTCACGCATATTAGTGTTTGCTTTGGTTGTCCAAAATTAGGGCCTACACATCTGCTGCGTTATAAACTAGTTAGGGATAATTGAGGGTGGTGGGTAGGAACCATTTCTTAGTTCGCTACATTATTTTTTAAACTTTAAAGTCTTTATATATTAAAAGATGTCGGGAGGCACGTTTTTGTTGCCTTTAAATTGATGGCCAACTAGAGAGCTTTTGTTTTTTTTTAAATCATCAATGTGGAAGGTGGGGTAACAAAAAGCTAGGCTCGCCCTGGGCCGCACCGACCCAAGCCACGCCACTAAATACGGTAATTAACTTTAGGCAAAAGAGGTTAAAAAGAGAGTTGAAAAAAAAAATAATTTTAAACCACATTGCCAATTGCCTCTGGATGACGTGAGCTAAACTTCTTGATAATTCTATTAGTCAAAACATTTTTTTTTAAATTCATTTTTTTTACAATTCCTTTTTTTAAATATCACATTTTTTCCCCATTTTGAAAATAAAATACAACGACGTTGTCAACGTGCATGAAGTGAACAGCATTGTATTTGTGACTGTTAACTAGTAGTTCTGTCTATTACAGTAAAGTTCTGTCAATGTTTTCGCGCGTATTAAAAAAAACTGATTTACTGTGTATTAAAAAAACTGATTAACTTCCAGATTGAAAAAAAGGCTGTTCGAATTAAATCTAAGTAGCATTTTCCCATTTGCAGGTGTATGTAATTATGTTCCTAGTTGTAACTAATTGTACAAATTCATCTTCAGTTTTCTTAAATAATAAATTATAATCAGAGTCTTATGATGAGTTCAGATTATGAGTAGCCTAATATACCATTTTGATTTGTAGGTAGGGTAAGGCAGGGCATTAAGTAACACCTATTTTTGCTTTCTGTGAATTTTTTCTCCTCCAAAAAAATATACAATGCCTACTTATACTTTTAAGGTTTATTATGAAAAAATAATGTCTTTTGCATTAAACCAGGTTGAAATTAACAACAAAAACATCAAATTTTAGGAAATATAGCTTGTCAGAAAAAGTTTAATGAAATTTGACACAACAAATGAATATGGAGTTTGGTGGTGGAGCACTTCTGCCACCTGCAGTGTCCATTGACACTTGGGGCCTTTTAGGTACATTAACCCTTTGTCTATTGAAAGGGCACAGTCCAGTTGACTCAAATCCTGACTTAATAACATCAGGTGTGAATGATGCCTGAAACAGTTTCTTTAAGATCCTTGGAAAGTCTTTCTTCCTCACTGGTCCTGAATGGGTCCTGTCATGTTTCACCAGATATGACTGCCATTTAGCCTTAACTGGTCTAAACACTGCCTTGTCTAGGGGCTGCAGAAGATGAGTGAGGTGTGAAGGCAGACGCAGGAGGACAACATTGTTCTTCTTTGCTTTTTCAATCAGTCCTTGGATAGATGAGACACATGGCCATCAAACACAAGGAGTCTTGTTTTGTCTTTGACATCAAAAAGATGATCTGAAATTATTAAATGAAAAGTGGTGCCTCCATCCATCCTTTGTTGCTAGTTGTGTAGCATGCATGGTCTGGTCCACCTTCAGTCCATGCCATGTACAAGTTCTTTCAATTGTAGATTATGAAAGTAGGAAAAGTCTTGCCGCTGGCAGACAAAGCTAAGCTGACCGTGCCAGAGCCTCCAATGCTTTGTGTTACCATTTTGTGCCTTTTTCTGCTAACACCATCTGTGGCCTGTCACCTGTCGTGAACACTGTTTCATCAACGTTGAAAATCTGATCACTGTCATCTATGATGCCATGCTTATCCAGGACTTTTTCTAAAAGGTTGAACCAAACAGCAAGTACCTGTGGATCCTCCGCTCTTGCTCGAGCATTACTCAGGTGCTCAGTTTTTCTGCACACAAGGTCAGGATGGCGTTTCAGGCAAAGGTGTACCCAGTCTTTGCCTGGTCGACCATTTACAAAAGGAGTCTCCAACTTGAGAGACTGGGTGAACTGTTGAACAACTGTTTTTAGTTCTTCTGTAGAAAATCCCCAACCCCAGCTTGCCAAAAGTTTCAAGCATTCAGCAAGTTCTTTCTCATGTAGAGAACACAGGGGGGTGCTCCTGCCAGCATGGGCATTAACTGGAATTTCCCCATTAACTCGTCGCAGTAGGGATTTTTTGTTGACGCTATAGTACCTAGAAGCCTGGTTCAAAGACATTTCTTTCTTCATTACTGCATAGTATGCATCAATCATCTCCTGGCACTTTTCAAAATTCTTCCTTGCTCCTTTATTCTTCTTTTTGTTGGTACATACCACTCTGAAACACAGCAAAGAAAAGGTGCTAAATGCCCGGCATTGTGTCTCCAACCTAATGCAATTATAGTGTTAAAAAATCAAACGATGAATCACTCTTTTCCTGCTTGCTCTTTGCACATAATAGTATAAACATTTCTGGAGCTAAATACAAACTTTAAAGTTTTCTTTCATAAAATATAGGTGTTAAGCCCATAAACTATAAACTTATCACACAGTTAAGGAAATTCAAACATGGGGCATTTACCACCCCACCCCCCCCCCCTAAAAAAATCCCTTCAAATAGGCCTACATGATACTTTCAAGGCACCAATGTAATTGAAATGGTTAGTGGTGCACTCTATTAGTTGAACTGTGCATATTCTACAGTAAAAAAGTGAAAATTGTCTCAAATGAACAAATGTTAACATAGGCCCAATTTCATATTTCACATTTTGAAAATGCACCATGCAGGTGGGTTAGGTCAGAAGAAAATTTTATAAAAATCAAATCAATCACATCATCAAAATAAAAAAGATATTATACTTACATGGAGTCTTTCTTGAATCTTGTAGGCAATTTAGAACTCTTTCAGGTGAGCAACAATGATGTCAGAAAAGTTTTTAGGACTAAAAATTTAACAGAGTGAAAAGTTTTAAGTGCACTTTCAGCATGTCTGACACGGAGAGCAGGAAGTGATCATTTGAAATCACAGTAACACAAAATAATTTTCATTGGTTTAAGTTTAGAAATAAACATTGGTTTGAAAGCAGTCTTCTGATAAGTTTAAACTACATAAGACTGGTTTCCTTTTTGCCCCATGCTATTTAAGTAAAGTTATAGAGTTAATTCTCAGGGTCCTCCAGTGACTGGTGCCTATTACCTCATGGTGCCTAATGTCCTGCCTTACCCTAAATGAATTTACCTACAGCCTACAGATAAGCTATAGTATAATAGATGTAAAAGTAAAAGATTTGTCGGTTAATTTAACCACGAAATTATTAATTTTTAAATTAGTAATAGTAATAGCAACAGTAAAACAATCAGAAATTACAAAAATGTACCAACTCACCTGTCATGCCTATCTTCAATCTGCCACAGAATCCACTGTCAATTTTAATCTTCAATGTAATATATCCAATCCAATCATAAGAAAAATGCACCAAAGAACACAGAAATTGCTAAATAATATTTACACTTCCAATTACTAATATACCTTTGGTAGCACAGTCACTTTTTGCCATGGTAAACAAGTTTACAGTTTTGTAACTAGCTTGGAAATAAAATCAAAATCTATGTGCCACTGAGTCCACAGCCACAGCACTGTCAATTTTAATCTTCAAAGAAGTATATCCAATAATAAGAAAAATGCACCAAAGAACACAGAAATTATTAAATAATATTTACACTTCAAATTACTAATATACCTTTGGTAGCCCACTCGCTTTTTGCCATGGTAAACAAGTTTTACAGTTTTGTAACTAGCTTGGAAATAAAATCAAAATCAGCTCGTTTTTTTTAAAACTGACCGCCGCTAGCAGACGATTCGACAACATTACAACCTGTTGGTAAATTAAAATCTCGAACCAAAACGGGAACGGAATAATATAACTATGTGACTGGTTTCACTACGACTCAAACATAGGCGCTGCCAGCGGCTCATGGTAGAAAAACCAGTTTTTAAACAAAAACAAACAAAAAAAATGTAGTTTTAGATAAGAAAATTGGGTTAAATGTAACCTCCTGGCGTTTCTTTTATTTCACTATCGCTCTGATTTTTTTTTTATCCATGCATGGAATTAGCACAAGTACTGATGAATAAACTAACTACAATCTAATATTTTAAAAAATAATAACAGCAACAGAATAGCAACAACTCAAACATAAAAAATTTAGAAAAATAATCCAGTCAAAAGTTGTTGAGATTTTAGCTCGTGAATTGAATTTTTTTTAAGTTAAGACACACCGGGTTTTTTTTTTGGTGGTATTTATGTTACTGAAATATCATGTGTTGTATTGAGTATTCGTTTATTTCATTTTAATTGACAACAGAAAGATAGTCTGTTGAAGATTAGACAATGTTATATGTAGGAAGGAAAAAAATGATCGTTTTAGAGCAGACCAATGCACTGGGTTTTTTTTTATACCAATAAAGGGAGCTTAAAATCCAGGATACAACCACTGTATTGCCTGCCAGGGTGCATAATCGCCACGTTCCATCCTACATTTACTTGGCTACCCGCTAGGTTATAAAGATTCAGAGTATTCTACTGCCTGGACAGGCTTTACGCAGGGCGCCTAAATTGTACACCCCCACCACTTAATTTTATTGGTGAAGGGTGGTTTCTTTTGAATAAACCTGTTATTTCATGTTTCTTTGATTTATAAAGTCTCATTAAGTCTTAATTCTTAGGCCCCATGGGTAGTTTGACGGGGAAAAAAAGTGAAAAGGGGGGGGGGGGGTCCATTGTGCTTTCCACTCTTTTAACAAAAACTTTTTTTTTTTTTTGCCAGACACGCTTAAAATATAGCCATTACCATCGCCGCTGTGCAGACGATTATTGACATTGAGTCCTTATCTGATAGATCCTTAAAGAGTTCTAAACATGAAACACATTCGCTTCAATCATTTGTTTCGTAGATAAGAAAGTAGACCGTTTCAGTTTTAGGAGTCTCTAACCGCAGAATAACCATAGGTACCATTTCCACGATGTATTCCAGAGCCTGCGTGCTGCTGTTCGCCAGTGTTGTGGGCCGCCTGTGGGCCGCTGACCCGTTTACACCTGGATGCAGTTTCGTGGGTGGTCAGTGCATGTACACGGTCCAGCTTGGACACCAGGGTCAGTGTGATGCTCAGACGGTAAGGCTTTTAGAGAAATACTCACACTCGTCATCTTCAGCGGACAGCCCACCAGATTTTTACTTCATGAGAGTAACAATATGGATGACACATTGCCTGAATTATAATGTCAATAAATTGTTCATGAGAGTAACAATATGGATACATTGCCTGAATTATAATGTCAATAAATTGTTCATGAGAGTAACAATATGGATACATTGCCTGAATTATAATGTCAATAAATTGTTCATGAGAGTAACAATATGGATACATTTCCTGAGTTATAATGTCAATAAATTGTTCATGAGAGTAACAATATGGACACATTGCCTGAATTATAATGTCAATAAATTGTTCATGAGAGTAACAATATGGATACATTGCCTGAATTATAATGTCAATAAATTGTTCATGAGAGTAACAATATGGACACATTGCCTGAATTATAATGTCAATAAATTGTTTATGAGAGTAACAATATGGACACATTGCCTGAATTACAATGTCAATAAATTGTTCATGAGAGTAACAATATGGATACATTGCCTGAATTATAATGTCAATAAATTGTTCATGAGAGTAACAATATGGATACATTGCCTGAATTATAATGTCAATAAATTGTTTCACAACAGCAAGAGAATATCTGATATATTTCTTTTTTTCGTATCTTTTTTTCCCCCTGTCTCTGCACAGCAATTGAAAACCTTGTTTCCAAAGCGTGTATTTCCAAGCTTTCATTTTCCAAATACATTTTTAGCTGTTAAATTTCGTCAAAACATTCGTATTAGTATAGTAATGTAGACATATTATTTTACTCAGAAACAAATCGGTATTTTTAAGGAGATTTAGCATTTAAGGCAATGATCACTTTATATGGGTTGATAAAAGCACTTTATAAAAAAATGTATTCACTATTAAGTAAGTTGTTAATTCAACATTTTATTATTCCACCCTCCCCCCTCCCCAAATCCCGACTCCGGGACAAACACAGCCTCAAGTTGCCACCGCCGGAGACTCCCAGTGTTGCACCGCAGTTCAAAATGACATCGTCGGTCTTAAGACAGATGTCGAGGTCTTGAAAGCACAGGTAAATAAACTACACGCCCTACCGTAACGTCTGCATGCGTCTTAAGACACGAGTGAGACGTCTCGCCGGCCGTATGCTCTCTGTGATATGCGAAGTAATCGTCTGAAATTAGATCTAAACGAATACCATCGTCTCTCGCCACTTTGCGCTTCGATTTTCGCGGCTTCTCTCTATTGAGGTTTGTTTTTTTCAAATACGACAATAACATGTATTCTTGAAAAACATTAATCGACATATTACAAATGATACAACGCGCGCTCGGTTGTCTGAGTCATACGCCTATGAATTACCTGCACTATTAAAATTACTGTACGTAGATACTGTAGTCCTTTGTATTGGAACACCCCCCCCCCCCAACCCCCTAGAGGGGGGAATAGTGTTACAAACCCGTATGGGGAGGACTGGGGAGAGGTTTCCACCTATGAATTACCTGCACTATTAAAATTACTGTCCGTAGATACTGTAGTCCTTTGTATTGGAACACCCCCCCCCCCAACCCCCTAGAGGGTCGAATAATGTTACAAACCCGTATGGAGAGGACTGTGGACAGGTTTCCTTGTCTAGGATTACGAACATATTCGATTTATTAAGAAAGAACCCTACTTCGCGGAAACTAGCTCATCGCGGTAGAGTCTGGAATTGATTGACCGCGATATGAGAGGGACCACTGTTTACTTAAAACCCAGTGAGAATCATGTATATTTTTTTCAATATATAATTTGTTTTTGAAAAAAAAAATGCCTCATTTAGTTCCTGTTTGTCAAAGTGTGGTGAATGAAGAAGGTTTGAGGTGGTTAGAGTAAGTAAGGGAAGGTGGGAAGAGATAAGAGGAGCTTGGTGAGGTGCGAGGACGTTGTGAATGTACGAGAAGTTGAGGAGGAAGATGAGGTTGAGAAGTTGGGACGAGGTTGGTGGGATGGGAGAAGGCTTGTGATGTGAGAGGTGTTGGAAGATTGGGCACGCCGGACCACAGCATTGTCTATAGACTGAGCTATCCAGGATAAGTTGCGGTAACTTGCTTTGTTTAGAAAAATTCCGAGCAAGCTTTACGTTCACTACAGTCCTACCGCTAAAAACTTTCTACGGCAGGTCACCACCCTGGTCGGCAGCCTCAATAAAACGACCGCTGACCTCCAGGCAGCGACCGCTCACTCCAAGACAGTCGAAGCGGAACGGGACTCGCTTCTGGAAATGCTGCACAGACGAGAGCTGGAACTGAACAAGACGGAGGCGGAACTTGCCCGGATGTTGGGCCAGGCCGGAGACGAGATCAGAGCACTAAGACAGGACCTGACTAACGTCACTAACGCGCTGGCGTCGTGTAGGACCGCTTTGGGGGTCTCTACGACTGACAATGGTCAACCAGGTGAGAAAACGACATAGGTTACAACTGATTAGGAACAAAAATTATGTATGGTATATAACAATATCTTTTTGGGGAAGGGAAAAAAAGCCATTTAGTTTGTGTAGCTTTTATTTTTTAAAAATGTAAAACTGATAGAAACAGATGTACAGCTACGTGCTCGACTTACGACATATGCAATTTAAGACCATTCGACTTAAAGACCACATTCACTAGCCATACTGTGTTAGATTTCAGATGTATTTCTGCCTCAATCATCAGTCGAACGTCGTTGTCTGCAATCAACGGTGGTCTTGAACATCGAAAATTAAGATTTATAACAATAATAAAAGAAATTTATGATAAAATTTAACTGAAATATTTGTATAACATCACTTCACATTACTGTACACGTAGCGTGCTCAACTTACGACCAAATCGTGTTACGACCGGTCTGACGGAACCAATCGTGGTCGTAATTCGAGCACTAGCTGTATTGGTAAAAAGATATGAATATCTTTCTTTTTTCAAGAGGCATGTTCACTTAAAAACAATGACAACATTAGAGTTCCGTAGGGCGCAATGAGATCAGGTCGGACAACATCCACCCTGGAATTATTATTTTTATAGATTACTGTGTCTGTTTGAATGCGCCCTACTCAACTTACTGGACTAGAGTTCAGAAACAACAAAACATGAATTATATACTTCTCAAAAGTGGAATTAAAAAATGAGAGATGTCCAAGGGCAAGCTACTCTGTATTACAAAAAAATTGGACGTACCTCAAAATTTGACCTCTCCCCCTTTCTTATCACTCTCAGTAAGTAAACAATTCGAACGGTGAAGTTTCAACCTCACTGAAATATAACGTAATCGAGGATTTAAAAAAAAAAAAAATTGCTATTGTTTAATTGTGTCTCAAGACTTAAGTTTGTGCTGAATGTCAGCTTAAAGTCACGTGTCTGATAGTCAAGACTGAGGATCCATCCCACTAACTTATTAAGAAAACCAAAAAAACAAAAAAAAAAAACTCTTCAGTGAAACGATAAATTAAATCCATGGACGAGTCAAACTTGGAAGTCTTGATCGCGGAGAGAATCCCTTACACGCGATTGGAGTCTTATTAATTGAACGATTGTCCCATTCCGACAGTGTCTTTGCTGGGTGCAGTAGAGCAGTGGTACTGCAGCTTCCAGGTCCTGGACGACTGCGGCTACAAGCGACTCACGGGCACCGCCAGCTTCTCCCTTATGCAGCATGGGTCGAGCCTCAGCACTGGCCCCCGAGTTGACCACAGCACTGGCATAGCGTCAGGTACATTCAACAATGACCCCCGAAAAACGTATTTCATTCACTAAATCCCTCTTTAAATTTTTATTTCTATAAAAATGCAAATTTATATCGCTCGATTGATGTACTGGCTAGAGGTAAAGAAAAGATGGAGACGATCAGTTGGCAGTGATTACATTACATATAGGTAATAATAGAACCAATGTAATATATCAATGTCTTAAGTATATGGTTGTAATATAAGTTAATTCAGTGGCATGCTCATATAAATGCATGTCTAGTAATGTATGGAAGTATACAGAATTCAATATGAACATAGTGTAATGAAATGGCTCTTCAATTTAGCGGTATAAGAATCTGTACTATCCTTGAGTAACAATATCTCCGCGTGGAGTGGCACTAATATATTTCCATGAGTTGAACTTGAGAGCTCGCCTGCGTGGTAATGGATCTGTTCACTCAAAAACCCCAGGCACCTACATGGGTTTGAACGCTGTAGGCGTGGCGGACATGTACTATAGTTCCCAGACCAAGCGTGACGCCACCATGGAGAGCGACGTGTTTCAGCCGGCCAACGGTTACTGTGTGCTGTTCTGGTACTCGATGAGGGGCGCCGATGTACTGCAGTTGGATGTCAACGTCAGGGTGCGTACCGCCACTTTTTAAAACCCGCACGTGCTACTTAATCCGTGGTGTCATTGGCGTCACCAAAACATTAATTTTGAAAACTTGGTAGGTTGGAACTTGGTAGGTTAGCGGTACCCCCAGACTGGGGTACCGCACTATATAAGACCACTAATAATAATAATAATAATAATAATAATAATAATAATAATAGTAATAGTAATAGTAATAATAATTATAATTATAAAATAATAATAATAATAATAATAATTATAATAATAATAATATTAGGGTTCGTGGTGCTCGGGGTGGGGGGGGGGGAGAGTATTCTGAAATTAGCCGGAAATGCCGCCACTCAATATAAAAAAAGTGCCGACAGACCCCCCCTCCCCCCCCCCCCCCATATAATAATAGTAATATTAGGGTTCGTGGTGCTCGGGGTGGGGGGGGGAGAGTATTCTGAAATTAGCCGGAAATGCCGCCACTCAATATAAAAAAAGTGCCGACAGACCCCCCCTCCCCCCCACCCCCCGGCTTGTGCCGATATGTTTTTAATGATTTTTATTTGAGGGGGACGGGGTTCCTTTATCAAGTTTTCTCCTGCCATTTTTTACTTATTTCCTTTACCTAAGCCAGTAGTTCTCAACCTGTGGGTCGCGGCCCTTTCCCAGGGGTCGCCTAAGACCATCTGAAAACACATATACTCTACAGTTATGAAGTACCAAGCAAAATAATTTTGTGGCTGGGGTCACCAATGTATTAAAGGGTGGCAGCATTGGGAAGCTCGAGAACCACTGACCTAAGCTGATTACAGTCGTCGTCCCCCCCCCCACCCCCCACCCCAAACCCTCTTTAAAATTATCAATTTCAATTTGAAGACTTGAACACACTGTGTAAAGATGAAAACGAAATGTCTCTATTCTTCATGCCTGGCTGTAGATTGGGGGCGGTACTGGATACCCCGTCTGGACCAGGAAAGGAGATCAAAAGGTTGATTGGCTCCTGGGAGAAGTCGACCTTGACATTGAATATACTGCGAATCCTTTCAAGGTAAAGCCAATAATATAAACAATAACTATTGTACTTTATGAAAGAGAGCCATTATGGGGCACCGTGTGTCACCATGATAGAACACCTTGTGTCACCATGATAGGACACCATGTGCCACCATGATAGGACACCATGTGCTTCCTTATTGGAGGAGGACTCTTAACGCGGGCTCCGTATCCCCTAGGGCGTACAAGGGGGCAGTTTAAGAGGATAGTTTAAGGGATCAGTATAAGTGGGCAACAAAAGGGGGCAGTATAAAGGGCAGTATAATGGGCTGTATAAGGGACTAGTATATGGGCGGTATTGAAGGGCAGCTGGAATGCCCAGAACATCCGGCCCCTTTCTTTTTGTAAGAATCTTTTATAGTGTGGTCTGGGATATAGAATATATTTTGAAATTAAGTGGCATTGTATGATATATATTTTGAAATTAAGTGGTATTGTATGATATATATTTTGAAATTAAGTGGTATTGTATGATATATATTTTGAAATTAAGTGGTATTGTATGATATATATTTTGAAATTAAGTGGTATTGTATGATTTATATTTTGAAATTAAGTGGTATTGTATGATATATATTTTGAAATTAAGTGGTATTGTATGATATATATTTTGAAATTAAGTGGTATTGTATGATATATATTTTGAAATTAAGTGGTATTGTATGATATATATTTTTAAATTAAGTGGTATTGTATGATATATATTTTGAAATTAAGTGGTATTGTATGATTTATATTTTGAAATTAAGTGGTATTGTATGATATATATTTTGAAATTAAGTGGTATTGTATGATATATATTTTGAAATTAAGTGGTATTGTATGATATATATTTTGAAATTAAGTGGTATTGTATGATTATATTTTGAAATTAAGTGGTATTGTATGATATATATTTTGAAATTAAGTGGTATTGTATGATATATATTTTGAAATTAAGTGGTATTGTATGATATATATTTTGAAATTAAGTGGTATTGTATGATTTATATTTTGAAATTAAGTGGTATTGTATGATATATATTTTGAAATTAAGCGGGGTTGTGGGATATATTTTTATTTTAGAAGAGGGTGGTTCGGCGCTGCAAAAAGCTCAAGAGACCCTGCCTCATGGAGTAATATTTGTTACCGTTCTACTAGAGGACCGCCTGCTACAAACTGACCTATGACCTTTGTTAATTCTCTGGTTTGACATGTTCTCAGATTGACTTCGTGGCCTCCTCGGACGCCTACAAAACGTACAGCAGCTCCACGGGAGGGTACATTCAGCATAATCATTTGGGAGACATTGGTATTGATGATATCTACGTGTACAACACGTCATGTGCCAGTAAGTGGATCACGAGTAGTGGCATAAGCTAGAGTAAAATTACAGAAATAGTTTACACTAGGGTTTAACCGGGTGCAGTTGGGTTTTTACACCGGCGTGTAAAAGTGTTACACAGTAAAGAGATAAATTCTCATTTTCTATAAAATGCAAATATCTACTGTCCTATGCCGTAGTCAGAGTGCACTGTCCTATGCCGTAGTGAAAGTGCATTGGCCTGCGTCAACCGTTTGTGTCAAGAAATAACCCACAGCTAGGAGCAGGCAGTTGCCGGATCCCAGATTAGAGATGACGTTGTACACAAAACTCGTCCACAGAGAAGACACTGTCTTTCATTTTATAACAAAGACTTGGGAAACCTTCCCGCACCAGGCTACGGGAAAGACTCACAGACGCCCACACACACAACCGAGGTGAAAGGACGGCCCATGACCAAGTGCGGTGTGCAGTCCCAGAACGAAGGCGTGAACAAAACCAGTGACATTTGTTGTTGTTGTTTAAAATCATTTCTAAATCTTAAGATATAAAAAAGGCAACCTATTTGCCGGAGTTCAGACGGTCCACATGAAGGTCGCTGCGTGACCGGAGTTCAGACGGTCCACATGAAGGTTGCTGCGTGACAGCATTTGTTTTTTTTTTCACTTGTGGAGTTAAGGGGGTTGAACACTTGGGCGGGACAAAATCCTGTACAAGTTGCTGCCCCTCGTTTAACAGATTACAAATTACCCACGGGGCGGACTCTGTAGCGTAGGAAAGGGTTTGGTGGTGCTGCTGGTGAGGGGAAGGGGTGGGTCGGTAGAAGAGTTCATAAAATCGGCGACACCTTATATTCTAGTGTCTTCGGATGCTCAGATCAAATGGCTTCTATTTCTTGTGCTTTATTGCAAATATACATTGAATTACCTCCCCATGATTATTATTATTACTTGTTTTGTTTTTTTTGGAAAGGAGATATTTAACGTGAATTTCGTGACCCTGCACAATCTAGTTTGTTGTTTAATTCTTAATTATTATTTTATTTTTATTTTTTTTAAATTTCAACTATATAATACATAACGTATCAGGATAAAAATAATAATTTTAAAAAATAATAAATGTAAAAAAAACATAAAATAATAATAATACATAATTAGAGACAAATATTTTAAATTTTCACATGTTTTACAGTCAATTTTTTCTTATACGGAAATTTAAAAAAATAAATAAATAAAAAAAGTAATCAATAAAAAAAAAACTGACATAGCAATTTTTAATACCGAACGAATGGGTTGATATGATTATGTCTGTTATGACTATTGGTTGAGCCCATATTTGATAACAATGGGTTTTTTTTTATTGCATAAAATTCTCGTTAGTATTAAAATTCTTCTGATTATGATCCTACGATTATATAAATAAGCCAGTAAGATTAATATGTTCAAAGTTGTGTTTTTTTGGTTGGTGTTTTTTTGTTTTTTTTCGAACATCCGTTGACTTACCTGAAGCCTAGGTATAGTTTAAACGTATACAATTTAAAACGTTAAAGAGAAAGAAAGCATGCAACATTTCCTAGAAATGTCTCATGTCTCTACATGTCATGTCTCAGACGTCCATATGCAACATTTCCTAGATATGTATCATGTCTCTACATTTCTTGTCTCAGACGTCCCTATGCCACATTTCCTAGAAATGTCTCATGTCTCTACATGTCTTGTCTCAGACGTCCCTATGCATTATTTCCTAGAAATGTCTCATGTCTCTACATGTCTTGTCTCAGACGTCCCTATGCATTATTTCCTAGAAATGTCTCATGTCTCTACATGTCTTGTCTCAGACGTCCCTATGCCACATTTCCTAGAAATGTCTCATGTCTCTACATGTCTTGTCTCAGACGTCCCTATGCCACATTTCCTAGAAATGTCTCATGTCTCTACATGTCTTGTCTCAGACGTCCCTATGCAACATTTCCTAGAAATGTCTCATGTCTCTACATGTCTTGTCTCAGACGTCCCTATGCAACATTTCCTAGAAATGTCTCATGTCTCTACCTGTCTTGTCTCAGACGTCCCTATGCATTATTTCCTAGAAATGTCTCATGTCTCTACCTGTCTTGTCTCATGTCTCTACCTGTCTTGTCTCATGTCTCTACCTGTCTTGTCTCATGTCTCTACCTGTCTTGTCTCATGTCTCTACCTGTCTTGTCTCATGTCTCTACCTGTCTTGTCTCAGACGTCCCTAAGTGCCCCCCGACGTCCACCAAAAACACCCTCAACAACGTCACGTCCTGCTACACGTTCCACGTGACCGCCCTCTCCTGGAAGGACGCCTATGACGTGTGCCGCCGGGAGGGCCCCCACTCTGGGCTGGTCAGCGTCGACACGCAGGAGGAGCAAAACTTTCTGGTCAGCGTGATCAACCACGACCCAGGTAAACAGTTCTACAACATATCACCACTTAGAGTTTGACATTTTTTTCTTGGGGGGGGGGGGTGGTCCTTTCATTATCAGTTTAATATCTATTTATATCAGATACTGTCAGTTTTTGTCACAAACCGTTGCCACCTGTTTCTGTCCATCACACCTGTTTCTGTCCATCGCACCTGTTTCTGTCCATCGCACCTGTTTCTGTCAATCACACCTGTTTCTGTCCATCGCACCTGTTTCTGTCAATCACACCTGTTTCTGTCCATCACACCTGTTTCTGTCCATTACACCTGTTTCTGTCCATCACACCTGTTTCTGTCAATCACACCTGTTTCTGTCCATCACACCTGTTTCTGTCCATTACACCTGTTTCTGTTCATCACATCTGTTTCTGTCCATCACATCCGTTTCTGTCAGCTACCACCATTTTGTTTTATCCATCACATCAATATCCATAAGTTACCATCTTTTTCTAGTTATCCATCAAATCTGTCTATCAGTTACAATCCGTTACTATCAATCACATCTATTTCTATCATTTACCACCTTTCTCTATTCATCACATCTGTTTCGATCACTTACCATATGTTTTTGTCATTTTATTATCTGTTTGTGACCATTAAATCTGTTTCTATCAAATACCAGCAATTTTGTTCACACTGTCAAGGTGAAATTAAAAAAAACCAATAAGATTATATTCTGGAAGCATAATAGGAATTGATATCATCCTATTTCTGTGAAACATATAATTTATTCTCGTGGATATTGTTAAGGTCGATGTTAAAATGTGTCACTGTTTGATCGACATCGTCTTTGGTATTATTGATAACTAAATGGAGCAGTAGCAGTGACAGCGCTCCATAGAGCAAGAGAGCATTATTGAAGGACTACATTCAAGCGGTTTGAATGAAATGGTCAAGCAAGGTCTCTTGAAGCTTGAAGCAAAAGACGGGACAATCAATAACGTGTTCGCTGAAGAAGGTTCTAAGCCGAAATGTTCACAGCTTATTGTCCCGTCTCTTGATTCAGGCTTCAGCATACCTTGTTTTACTATTTCATCCATATATCGACCAATGTTTAGTTGTATTGACTCCATACGTGTTCTTTACTGTGCATTTTGCTGCCTTCTGCACGTGGGACGCAGGAAATGAGAGTGTATCACCGTGCGCAATGGGGGGGGGGGCGGGGCGGATAAGATCCACTCAGGAATTATAGTTTAAGATTGGTTAAAATATTATATTCTCTTCTGGTATCCTTGCTTTGATACTGGCTATAATTAGAATCAGATTTCAAGATTATTTTAGCTGTAGCTCTAACATGTTCCAGCAGTTGTGTCTAGAAAAATGGCGGAAAGTGGTGAGGAGAGGGGGAGGGGTGTGTGTTTATTTTAAGACATTTTCTTTCCAAATACAACTTTTTAACTTATCCTGGAAAGCTGGTATTTTACTGTAGCACCGGCTCTGTTAGTTCATTACATGAATATGCTATCCAGGTAGATTTTTTAAATATTTTTTTTTTAAAATCAGATAAGTAATACTTAAACGTACCGGTGGTCAATGTTGGGTCACTTGTTCTCCATTCGTTAAATAGTTCTCATTTTTTACTTTGTTACTAAAAAAAAAAGTATCGTTTTTTTTCTTATCTTAATATTGTTTGTAACTTTTGGGGGTGCCGCCATTCCACCTGAATTCCCCGAGCACGTGCCCGTTTGGCTCAGTAGTTATGCCAGGGCTTCCGTTTCTACTCCACAGCTCTCACCGTGGTAGGACAGAACGGCTTCTACACCAGCGGCAGCGACTACGGCCGGGAGCACAACTTCGCGTGGACCGACTCTGGGAGCCAACGCTCGGTATCGTGGCCCGGCTGGCACACCGGTCAGCCCAACAACGTGGGCGGCAACCAGAACTGTCTGCTGATGCAGTACCCGGCCGATGGGTACACCTGGGGGGACATTGAATGCGACAGCAAGCATCCGTTTATATGTGAAGTTTATTATTGAGATGGCATTTCACGGTGGCGGTGAAATCTGATACGTGTTTAAACAGCCACGTCAACTGCATGCTTTTGACAGTCTCGTCCAATTTTATTTTTAGGGTCTAGGGTCACGGGGGAGGAGGGGGGGGGGGGCGACCCACGGTCTCACTGCATAACATTATAACATTTTCAAACTACCGGTAATCAAATGTTTTTTTAAAAGTAAAAGTGAAAATAAAATATAAAAAAAACTACAAGTTTCAAAATTCAGACCTGTTTACCCCTGGGTTAGTGTCAGCGTAGTTTTCAGACCTGTTTACCCCTGGGTTAGTGTCAGCGTAGTTTTCAAACCTGTTTACCCCTGGGTTAGTGTCAGAGTAGTTTTCAAACCTGTTTACCCCTGGGTTAGTGTCAGCGTAGTTTTCAGACCTGTTTACCCCTGGATTAGTGTCAGAGTAGTTTTCAGACCTGTTTACCCCTGGGTTAGTGTCAGAGTAGTTTTCAGACCTGTTTACCCCTGGGTTAGTGTCAGCGTAGTTTTCAGACCTGTTTACCCCTGGGTTAGTGTCAGCGTAGTTTTCAGACCTGTTTACCCCTGGGTTAGTGTCAGCGTAGTTTTCAGAACTGTTTACCCCTGGGTAGGGGGGGGGGGGGGGCAATGAAATTGCAAGTTTTGTAAGGAAATCCACTCAAATGATTAATTTAGTTAACACAAATAAATATACAGGATATGTAGGCCTATACCTGTGGCGACTCCAGTAATAAAACAACTTACCACGCCGACCAAGTTTTGTTTTTTTCTTCCCCACCCCCTTCAAGGAACCTGAAATAACGTCCCTGGTAAACAGGTCTGCTAATCCAATGTTTAATCACATATCAAAAGTAGATTAGAGTGTCATATGCCTTAGGCGTTTCTTTATGCGCTTTCTTAATAATTAATCTTCATCATTAAAGTGAATTTAGTAAGTCATGTTAGCGTTTGATAAACATGTAGAACCCAATCAGACAAATTTAAAAAAAAATGTTACCCTTAAAGTTAATAAACAATAATAATTAAAAAATGTCTGGTCTTCTTTCTTTCTTTTATTTAATTTTAATGTACCATTTGTGTCCGTGCTTTGAGTTTAACTTGAGCTAACTGCATTTGTGGTGCAAAAATATGCAAGACGCTATTTCATTTACCATATCAGTTACTACTCATTGGAAACATTTGAACCATATATAGCCAGTTGGGTGATTGGAACTGGGAGAAGGGAATTATGGGTCCATCCGCCGGGGGAAGGGGTTCTATATTCAGAGCTGAACTATGGGTCAGCCTGCCCGGGGCTCTATATTCAGAGCTGAGCTATGGGTCAGCCTACCTGGGGCTCTATATTTAGAGCTGAGCTATGGGCCAGCCTGCCTGGGGTTCTATATTCAGAGCTGAGCTATGGGACAGCCTGCCTGGGGTTCTATATTCTGAGCTGAGCTATGGGACAGCCTGCATGGGGTTCTATATTCAGAGCTGAGCTATGGGACAGCCTGCCTGGGGCTCTATATTCAGAGCTGAACTATGGGTCAACCTGCCTGGGGCTCTATATTTGGGGATCCAATATTTCTAGTTCTCTCTCCGTTGATGAAGAGATCAATATCAGGATTGCAAAAGCAGCAGCAACTATGGCTAAACTGAATAAGCGGGTGTGGAATAATCTCAATCTAACTGATAAAATAAAAAATAAGTGTCTATCAGGCATGCGTGCTTAGCACGCTCCTATATGGTAGCGAAGTGTGGACCACATATACCAGTCAGGAGCGGAAACTCAACAGCTTCCATCAAAGATGTCTGCGTCGCATTTTTGCGCATTCGTTGGCAGGATAGGGTGCCTAACGTGGAGGCCTTGAAACACACAGAAAGAACCAATAACATTCTACAGTGGTTATTCAGTTATATTTTATTCATGAAACCATTTGGGGAATTAATCATCAACTGATAGACAACTTTTTTTTTTTGAAACTACCGGTAAATTATTATTTGATAGTTTCTTTCACATCGTTCATCCAAGTTACTTCCAGTTATAGTTACATTTTTTAAATTTTTGTTTTTAATTTGGGAAACAGCTAATAATCCTAGAAGAATAATCCCAGGCCTTGTGGATTTCGTCCTGGGAATTCCAAAACATGGTCAAATTGTGACGGACAGATGCCAGCAAAAAAAATAAAAATTTGGGAACTTTTCCCTTCTTCCAATTTATTTGCACATGTCTGTACAGCCTTAGCTACTGCTTTATTTGCACATGTCTGTACAGCCTTAGCTACTGCTTTATTTGCACATGTCTGTACAGCCTTAGCTGCTGCTTTATTTGCACATGTCTGTACAGCCTTAGCTACTGCTTTATTTGCACATGTCTGTACAGCCTTAGCTACTGCTTTATTTGCACATGTCTGTACAGCCTTAGCTACTGCTTTATTTGCACATGTCTGTACAGCCTTAGCTGCTGCTTTATTTGCACATGTCTGTACAGCCTTAGCTGCTGCTTTATTTGCACATGTCTGTACAGCCTTAGCTACTGCTTTATTTGCACATGTCTGTACAGCCTTAGCTACTGCTTTATTTGCACATGTCTGTACAGCCTTAGCTACTGCTTTATTTGCACATGTCTGTACAGCCTTAGCTGCTGCTTTATTTGCACATGTCTGTACAGCCTTAGCTACTGCTTTATTTGCACATGTCTGTACAGCCTTAGCTACTGCTTTATTTGCACATGTCTGTACAGCCTTAGCTGCTGCTTTATTTGCACATGTCTGTACAGCCTTAGCTACTGCTTTCTTTCTTTGTCTCTGCCAGCTGATTTCTGTTTTTTTTCTCTGTTTTTTTTTTTTGCATGTTGAAACACAAGCAACCAGTCATCATTTATCATATATTCACTGTGTAACTACATAATTTATAGTTGTAAAACTATGGTGACCATAAGGACTATTTCTTTCCCTTCATACGATTACTTTTTCTGGTTCAAAACTGGCGTCTCTAACAGTCTAAAGGTTTTATTATCTGTGTGTGCAGGGTCAGACAATAAATGTGTGGCAGTAGGCTGATGTCTAGCCCTCTTGTAGGAAGAAAACTGTCCAGCCTCCGTGCCGCAGACTGCAGCAAATGTTTGATATGGTAACCTCTTGCTTTGATTATTATCATGGTATATATAATGTTGAGAGTCCTCGTAACGTTCATGCGGTTGAACTGTCCTGTCTGAGACCTGGGCCGAAGAATATTCTGGATTGTACGATGAAACACAATTGGGGGGTAACTTCCTCTTTCTGACATACGGCTTCACAATTTTTTGACCAGTGACGGCGAAGTGATCAGCAACTTGAGGATGAGAGATATTGCTAAATTTGTCATTTGCATGTGGTGGATGAAAGTTATTGATGGGTAAATCACTCTGTTCACCATTTATTAAAGAAACGCCATTGGTGGAACACGGCATTAATGGGTAAACACTAATGTTATTTGCTTCCTGGGAGTCCACTAAGACAATATCTCGTGACATGCCATCACTCCAGGGCATTGCCCCTGTTTTATTTTCCAAATTAGAATAAGCTGGAGATGGTGAAGATGGCTTAGTAGCAGAAGTCAAAGTTGATGACGAAAAATGAGAGTTTAATCCTTTTTTGGACTGTCTTCTTTTAAACTGTTGGCTGAGGGAAAAAAAAGAAAGAAATCCAATTTAATTTGGGGAGCAACAGGCACAGAATCTATCAAATGGGTCAGATGCAAGTGTTCAGAAGTGTTGGTTTGTCATAGTCACTGGTCAGCTGCAACTAATGAAAGAGTGTCAGTGTTGTAATAGTCACTTGTCAGATGCAAATGCCAATGTCGCAGAGTATCAGTAGTCATAGTCACTGGTCGGATACAGCTATGCAGGACTGTCAGTGTTGTCATAGTTTAGGTCAGATGCATACAATCAAAGAGTGTCAGTGTAGTGTAACATGATGTATCATTTGAACCTTAAGTGAATGCTCTAGAATATTTTGTCCCGTTTATCAACAGACCAAATGCTGAAATTTTAATGATCAATTCTACTATATAAACCTCAGTGTGATTATGTCTGTTAACTCTTTAAGTCCGACGCGCCAGTCTAACTGGCTTACTGCCGGTCACTTTTTGATGCAAGACAGTCTATGTGGCGTTTCATAGTGACTCTTTAATTTTGGGATTTTATATAAATATTTCGGTATTTTGTCCAAATCAATATTTCCACATCCTCTTCCAATGCTTACATTTTTCAAACGTGCAAGGAATTTGTTTTTTTATCGCACTTTTACTAGAAAAGTTATGAAATGTTGTCTGTGGTCACATAGGGTCATCAAAATTACTGCATCAAAAAATGGATTTGACCTATGGACACTAAGAGTTAATGGGTCAATTAATCACAAGAAAACTAAACAATGGATTGCAACCATATTTGATATGGTCATTCCCCCTGAATTATATATGGTTCCTGAAAGTTTGGTCATAATGCCCTTTTCAGATTTATTTTCAATAAGACGCTCTATTTTTATTGTTTTTGTACCGATTTTAATGGGACATTTTTAAAAATAAAGTTTTTTCCTTATCCAACCTTAAATACTCACTGCTGTAAAATATTAAAGATTAAGCTGTTTGGGGGGGGGGGGGGGGGGGGGGGGGTGTCCCGAATAGTAAATATTTAAAGGGTAACATATTTGAAAATTTCTTCCGAATTTTAATGGAATTAGTTTTAAAAATGAACTTGAATATTAAACTGAATGATTTTTATTTTGCCCCAGTTCAGGAACAACTACAATGGCACATTTTGGAAGGAGGATTCTAATTTATTTTACTTTATAAAGGGCCTTAGCTTTGTCAATGGTGTCTACCATTGTGACAAGACATCTTTTAAAAATTAGATTTGTCTTTGAATTTTGCTTTTTTAGTCTGTGCCCAGCTTGAACATCAAAGAAATGGAATGGGCCTCAAATTCAATGTTTACAAGAGTAATTATAAATAATATAAATCTGGCTTTTTTTGGGAGAAAATTTTAAATTTTAATATTGGTAATTTAGCAAAGTATTATTTTTATGGGGCCATGAATTTACGTGTACTCTGATTTACGTGTACTCTGATAACGCTTCAGAGGTTTTTATTCGAATACAAACCTGAGCTAAGACTGGTATGGGTATATTGGATAGTAATAATTAAATGATGCAAAGTGTCTACTTACACTGAGTTTGTCCGCCGACCATGGCTCCATACACCCCCAAAATCTGGCAGCCATGTGTCCGATTGGTCAGTTGTGTGGTCAAACTTTGCCCCCACTCTGCATGCTGGCAACTGCCTTTTCTTTTCCAGTTTGCCTAAATAGAAATATTTCAACTTAGACTACAAAAATTTAGATTACTATTTCTCAAACCGGTTTTATGGATAAAGATCCACATCACCACTGCTGCCAGTGTGGCCATTATTCACCCTGATCTGGCTAATAACAACTGGCAAACATTAGACTGTTATGAACAAATCAATAACATTCCCATTATTTTTAAAATGCACTTT